ATATTTTTATTTGAAATAGTAGTCGCCAAGCCTGCCATTTTATAGAAATTATATAACCGGTATTTTTTTAAATAATATTTTCATTGTGTTCGACATAAAATATTAAAAATGTCTAATATTAGAGCGATATAGCAAATTTCTATAACCTCAGCCACCAATAGTGACAATGTAATTAGATGCAAATAAATTACATGCTAAAATAAGACTTATTTTAAACCTGTAGTTTTGACATTAGAGTCCTTGTCCTTATACATATATATGACCTTATTTTAAAAATTTTAAATTACAATTCACCTTTTTTGTTATTTATAATAGTACATAATATGAAAGAGAAATTAGAAATTACCATTTAAGAAAGTTTAGATGACGATAATAATAAATATTTAATATTAAAAAACTTCAAACTGATACGGAATGTCGGCGAGCGCACCCAAAAGCTATAAACTCGCCACTATTATCTACTGCCCTTAAACATCAACAATTTAAAGTCAGTTCTAGAACGTAAACGATCTGCGCATCTTAGATGTCAAAATAAGAGCAGCGCTATCAGGACTGGTATATCTAAGGGGGTCGCGACATAGACCCAGTAAATAGATGAGGGAGTGACTGAGGCTAGGGCGGAAATATCAGCTTAAGTTGGCAACACTTTTCTGATGTTTGTTAGGCGAAATCCACGGTTATCGTTTGTCTTGCCGTAATAGTATTATAAAAACAGACAGATCTGTAACAACCTAAAGACCATTTGTAACTACTGATAGGCCTTTAGCTACTGTTGTTAATATACTATTAAGGGATTAGGGCAGCACCGTCACCAGCCAAAGGATCCTGGAGTCCAGAAGGAACATATATTCACCAGTGGCAAATAAAAAAATAATAAAAAAATTAATATAAAAGAATAAAAATTACCCCTTAATGGCATAGTCGAGCGGATCTTGGCAACTAGTTTTAGACTCTTTTAGTCCTAAGGGACTAGAAACGCCGAGGCTTCTCAAATGCTTAGAGTATTTTACTGGTTTGGAATGGGAGGAGAGATTAATAATAAGTATTAAAACATTAACAAATGTATATTATCAATAAGTATAAAATTTGACTAATAGTCTTAAGAAAAAATGAATAAAATTCCATTTAGGGAATAAATCACTATAACTACATAATAATATAAAAATACGAATAAGATAAATATGATATTTTGGGACGAAAATGTAAAATTGGCATTTATATGTAAATCAATTAATTATTATTAAATTATAAATTATAAAATTAAGTTAAAAATATTTACCCATAATTTACAAATCGTACACAAAACTTTATCCCCAAAGTCCCCAAAAAAAATAAAAGCTTTTGCCCCTTGAGCGAAAGTTCTGGACCTTAGTCCGCACTCGACTGAGAGCATTTACTCAAGAGAGAGCTGCTTTCTTTCTGTCTCTTCTCTATATAAACCAAAATTTACGTGATGATTGTATTTTTTGAAAATGTCACGCCCAATGTAGCTATTGACTAGATTAATAACCTGATTGTTTCATTTTCATACGTGTCTTTTTAATTTTTAATTTAAAACATAAAAATACTTATTTAGAATTTTTGCTAAATTCTTTATATTTCCAACTAATAATAATGCCAATTATTACAGATCTACTTTTAAGTGCATAATAATGTCAATATGGTACAAGTCGAATGAACCACTGTTTTCCTCGTAGTGAAATTAAAACTAAAAATATTTTGTGCTTTTTTATATACACCAAATTATGCAATTTATTTCCACTTTATTTTAATGTTACATGAATAGGTACATGCGTTTGCGCTGTGTTAAATAAGTTTTAATGTGAAAATTATCTCTGAAACTGCATTGTGACTACACTCATCTCAAAACTGAATGCTGTAAATCCTAAATCCAGGATTTAAATCTTTCATAGTGTTGCTTCGGAAAAAGGTGTTGGACACATCGTTTGCAACTTAAAGTTGCATGGACAGCATCATAGAAGAAGGTATTTTACCATTATGACATTCTCTTTTAACATTTTTAAGTGACTAAGTTTGTAGTTTGGCGAATGGACTCAGTAACCCAGTCAAAAAATTCAAATAAAAAAAAGAGACTAAGTTCTAATAAGAATATTAAGAATACATAAGTTGAATATGAAAAAGTAATTACTTGATTTGAATGTAAATGTGATTTAATTAAGAGCTAGATAGATGTCTCATATAAACAAAATGCTGTAAAATGTTGATAAATGCAAAACCATTATCAAAGAGAAATTAGTTATCATCAATAGGATATTTTGTAGTAGATGATCTCCTTAAATAATAAACTTGAAAGATTGTGAATTAGTAGTCACTTTTACACTTTTACTAGAAGTAAAAACAAAAAAATGTGTGGTTAAGACTAATTTATGTATTTAATAAAAAAATGCAAATGAAGTGAAAAATATCTACCAACAATTTAAAAAAGACCTAAAATAAATAGACTTAGGGGACTGGAGCTCTAAAAAAAGGGAGCCATAATTTGTTATGCATCTTCATCTATAAGAAAATTGTCTTCATCTCTTTAATTACCTTTTAAAATAAACCAAACCAAAACAGCACAAAATTGAAAGTGATCTACTTTTCACGACGTATTCTTTGTACATGTGAGATTATTAATAATTTATTAAATTGAAATATTTTATCACAAAAAATATGGGCATTTTATATTTAAAAAAAACGGTGATTTTTTACTTATATTGGCAAGCCTGGCGACTACTATTTCGAAAAAAATGGCGTCCTAGATGGACGCCTATATTGCGACCTCCTTATATAGCAGCCCTGGGCGATATTAGTGATTGACCTTAAGTCAACTTGCAATAACTCTATTATAACGAAAGAAGGTAACCCATTTCTAAGTTAGCATATTATGTTCAGGCAAGTAACTGAAATATGAAGTAAAAGAAAGATAAAAAGTTTTACTGACATTTATTGTAAGTAACCTGCTATCCATCCTTTTGATTATTTTTAAAAAGTCTTCTTCTGCAACGACTGTCAAATCATTCCAACTATGCGATGAATATATAATAGCTGTGTCATCAGCAAAACTAATTATGTCCCCCCTACTTTCAATTCCAAAAATATCATTTAGGTAGAGATGAAATAAAATTGGACCTAACACCGTTTCTTCAGGAACCCCAACTTATCTATCTTAAAATCACTTAAAATATTTTGAATACGAACGCACTGCCTTCTATCCATTTAGTAGATTTTTAGAAGTAAATATGATATCTACTCCTCTAAATTCAATTTGGTCTATACATCGAGAAGTTGAGCTTGACTAAAGAATTGATACTCTTTACCTAGATCTATAAATATGTATTTTGTTGGGATTTTATTGTCTATATATTGGTTTATCCTATTTAAAAGTTCTAGAATCGCTACTTCTGTATTTTTACCTTCAGTGAAACCAAATTGATTAGGAGTAAGTACATTATAATTATTTAAATAGTTAATTATTCGATATGCTAGAAATTTTTCAAAAATTTTTGCCAACGTAGAGGTGATATTGGTCGATAGTCAAGCAAAATGATTTCGTAAAATTGTGGAAAAGCTCCTTGGAATTTCTGGATCAAATATCTTTCATAGTTTAATACCGGCCTTAATTAACTGACATATTTTATGAAATCTTTTGAAAAATTTCATTGTCAAATATCTTTTATAGTCTAATACCTACCGGTCAAGAAAATTTAAAAAATTGTTATAGAATATATTTCATACATTTTTAAAATATTGTAAGAAAACTGTTTTGATACGAAATTTCATAATCAAAAAATAAACCGAGTAATAAATAAAACTATTTTTAGTATCGGCTTCTGTAAAATGATAAAATGCGTCATTTAAAATGGGATTCCACACCGAGCACGGTTCAGACTCTCCGATAAGTCTAAACTTTATCTCTTGCTTAATTTTTTAATTCTTATGTTCTTTACCATTTCCTTAGCATACATGTTATCATCAATGTCATCGGTACTTTTTAAATAAAACATATATTATGTGAATTACTTAAAGAGAAACACAACATTGGAGTATAAATATTTTGGTTCATAGGAATCAGAATTAGTACACTTTCAGCAGGCATCAAAGCTATTATTCAATTTTAAAAAAGAAAAATCAATAAAAAAATGAACACTGTTATTGCATTTGCCGTTTTTGTAGTTGTAGTTACTGTAGCTACAGCTCAGCCACTTGACGTTTTTGAAGATGAAAATGGACAAGAATTCGTTTTGGTTCCAGTGCAAAGGCAAAGAAGGCAAGTTACAAATTTATAAAGAAACATTATCTGAAATGTTTAAATTATTATATAAATATTTTTATTATAACTTCTATTATCTACACAACATTTGAAAATAATGTAATATTTACCATATTTTAAGTATATTATTTGTAGGATTTTTTTTACAGCTTTACTCTATTGTTTTTTATTTTTGTTTTACTTCTTATTCCTCTTTATCGCATATTGTTTGTGATTGTGTTGTCGATTAATTGTAATCAATATACCTTATTGTTTTAAAACTTACTAATACTGACCTAATTTTTAGGCTACTTGTAATTCTTGTTTCGTTCTTCTTGTCCATTGGTATCCTACTTGCTTTTCTCCATAAATTCGAACACAATTTTTATTCCTTACTGGTGTTCGTGCTCTTTTTCATTGTCTTTAACTCAGATCCATAAAAAACAACCGATGTTTGATATATTGTTATTTTAACATCAATAACGCACTTGCACGTGTCTTTCTTTATTTCTTTCTGTCCTTTTTCATTATATCTTTTTGTATTTCCAAATCAATTTCATTAAAATACAGAACGTGACTTTCCACTGCTTTTGATTACTTCTACCAGTCTTTTAGCGATTCTCTTTATTCATTTATTCCTTGGTCTACCTCTGTTTCTTTTTTGTTGAATTTATTCAATTTCTTGCTTTTGGAATTTATCATTTTCAATAAATTAATTTATTAAATTATACAATTATTTTTATTTTAGAGAAGTCACTTGGGGAGCCAATCAAGGTGGTTACGCTTTAGGTCAAAAAGGAACCGTATTCAGCAACGACAACCACAGAGTAGACGGTTCTTACGGTGCATCAAAAGCCTGGGGATCACATGGCGTTAAACCTGACTCATTTGGTGGACAAGTTGATTATACCCACAAACCAAGTGGTTCTACAGGTTTCGTAGGAGTTAACAGAACACCTGGTTGGGGAAATGATGTCAGTGCTGGTGCTAAATACAATATTGCCCAAGGAAAAAATTGGGGCGCTGATGTTACTGGACAGTATGGAAGGCATTTTGGAGGACCCGGTGGCACAGGAAAACCACAAGGGGGTGTATTTTTAAACGTTGGAGGAAAATTTTAAATTAACTGATTAACAAATTTTTATTTAAATTATTATTATTATTATTTATTATTTTTATACTAATTGTTTTGCTCAAACAAATAAATTATTTTTTTTTATATAAAATGTACGTTTGTTTTCTGATACTGTCATATTATAAATATGCTAATCTAAGATCCCTTTTCAAGAGTAATATCATGAGTGGTAGGCAAAATGCCTCCCTGGATAACTATTTTTACTTTCCTATCTGTATACAGATGTGTGTGTGTATGTGTGTGTGTTTGTGTGTTTGTGTGTGTGTGTGCGCGCACGATAACTCAAGCACGGATATTAAGAAAAATACCAAACTTTGAACTTAAGCTTTATACCGGCCTGCGGTGAACTGATTAGATTTTGGGAAGAGTCGAGACATCTGAGGGTACTTTATAGAGGTTCATTTTTATATTTTATTAAATATATCTGTTATTTACCTTTGGACAAGAAAAATTTTTAAATAAAAGTTACTTCTAATATTATTATAATTTTTGTTCTATGCAAAATTTTCCTAAAATAGTCCGTATTCAGGAAATTTTATAAAATTTAAAAAATTCTGATTTTTAAGAAAATTGTTGAACTAAAAGATATTTGCCATATCGATAACTATATTTTTTGTTTTTTTTTACATAATTTCTCTAAAATGGACCGTAATGGAAAAATTCTTTAAATAAAAGTTGCTTCTGTTATTATTCTCTTAAATTTTTGTTTCATATAAAATTTTCCTAAAATGGTCCGTATTCGAGAAATTTGATGAAATGCAAAAAAAATAAGTTTTTATGAAAATTGTTCGAATAAAAGTTGTTTACGATATAATTCTCTATAATTCTTATCAAATACATAATTTCTCTAAAATGGACCGTGTTTGAGATATTTAAGAAAATGTGTAAATCTAGAATTTTGAAGAAAACTCAAAAACCGATGAAGATAAAACATCAAATTTTTAATTGAAACTTTATTCCGGACTAAGGTAAACTGATTAGATTTTGGGCAGAGTCAGAACATCTGGAGGAGCACTTTATAGAGGGCCGTTTTTATATTTTATGGAATATATCCGTTATTTACGTTTGGAGAAGAAAATTTTTCAAATAAAAGTTACTTCTTGTATTATTCTCTATAATTATTGTTCCATAGAAAATTTTCCTAAAATGATCCATATTCGAGAAATTTGACAATTTAAATTTTTAAGAAAATTGTTTAAATAAAAGTTGTTTGCGATATCGATCTCTATAATTTTTAATTTAGACATGATTTCTCTAAAATGAACCGTAATGGAAAAATTGGAAGAAAGTTTAAAATTTTATTTTTTCAGTATTTTAGTTGGCAATGAATATAATTCGCCGTTCCGGTAAAACAATGACGCAAGTGCAAAATTGTGACATTTTGATTTTAACATGTCATTAGTTTCCAAATTAGTCTCTCTATACGGTATAACAACGGCGAAATTTTTTATCCACTCCCGGCCATCTAAATGGTAGTTACTTCAATTTTCAAATATTAATGTTTGCCCCTCCACTTTTGAAAAACAATGACATATGAATCAGTTGTGTCTGCAAATTTAAGGGAGATATTACTTAGTCTATGGTTAAATGTTGTATTTGCTATTTAGGACAAGTTCTTTGTGATTTATGTGCTCAAATTTGGAAGTAATAATATTCGTTTTTCGTCTCTCCTGAAAAATTTATAATTTTGCATTTGCGTCGTTGTTTTACCGGAACAGCGATATATAAAAAATGTTTGGAGTTAGAAGTATGTGGAAAATGTATATATTTAGTTTATCCTCGTAAACATTTACAGAGGTAACTGCAATAGGTTGTATAAAATAACCGGAAAAAGCCTGTAATAACTAGATAGGAAAGTCATGTGTTGCACACATCAGATTTTTAATGTAAGTAGTAAAAATTGAATATCGCAGTTATTATAAAACTTAGAAGGCCGTGACTCTACAGTGTTATTAAGCATGAAATATACTAATAATCGAATTAAATTACGGGTTTTGAGCTTACATTAAATTGTAATTAGATGAAACAAAATGGATTCTATGTATTTTGAGGTGATCTTTTCGAAAAAAGGCAAAACAAAATGTAGCAGTTTTTCGAAAATGCCGAAATTTTGGATTTTGTCAATTTTTCAATTTTGCGCAGGCGCATGTCGGAAATAAATCAATATTTTTAAAACGCAGTTTACGACATTTGAAAGCATAGGAAAAATGCTAATTTTTATGTCTCTTGAGAAATTTTGATCCGATGCACCGTTCTCGCGGTATGGAACATTGAAATTTGTTTAGTATTTTGAGGCGACGAAGGTCGAAAAATTGAATTTGTTAAATGTTCAAACACTAAATTCTTTATAACATTGGTAAAAATTAAGATATTTGAAAAAATAAAAATGCGTTTTGAACTTAAGGGATGTGACTAGTGATTCCCAGAAGGGAACAAGAGAAATCCCAAAATTGGGCATATGGCGGAAGGGCAAAATGCACCGCGGTCCTAATTTCATTGTTTGCCTATAACGGCCAAACTATTTGAATTTTTTTAATGCCACTTACAAAGCTTACTCTTAAATGTGAAATATTATGTGTGTGTGAATTTCACCGACATCGGACCATAATTGGCTAAGATATCAAACAAATAATTTTTTTTTCAACAAAAAAAAAAATAATTTTTTTTTTTCGAAAGTTTGAAGTGGCTCAAAAATGCCAAAAATGCACCCAATGGCTCAAAACTTTTTTTTGAGTACTCTATTGTGTCTAGAATACGATTACATTACGGAAAATTCTGCAAATATATTTTATCTATTTTTTTGACCACTGTTCATTGAGTGACGACCAAAAAACACGGTTTTTGAGAAAAGTTGCCTAAAATTGACAATTTTTTAGTTTTTTTGTCTGAAAATTAAACAAACCCAAATTTCATGTCTTCTAAATATACAAAGTTTAAAGTGTGTATCTTTCTTCTAAGATGTAGAATTCTCCCGACAAAAGTCCCATTACACGCGCTCCGCGGGATCCAAAACTCGTGTATACACTACATTACTGTTAATTTGATTTTTTTGCGATTTCCAGTTTTAAATTTCTATGCATATCTAAATTTATTAGGCTTAAAATTTATTAAATTGTATTTTACCTGACTTGTTATAAGACGTTTCTTGAGTTTTGTGCAAAATATAGAATTACCAGATATTAGCGAACAAAAAGCAAGCTTATCACCAAGTTGGAACTTACACTCAGGCTTAGGAATAATTTCCTAACATTTTTAAAGTATACCTTTTTGTGTATTTTTTTGTGCTCTTTTCGATGGCGAAGTTAGTTTTTTCAAATATATTTATTTTGTTAGATGTTTTCGGAAAACCCGGAAAAAATCACATGGGAAAAAAATTAAAAAAAAACTACGCCTCTGGTTTCCTGCGAATTCCCGAAAAATTATGTCAGATTTCGCCGCGGGACTTATTTTATTTGAGAGCCAACAAAAAAATACGCAACTTCTCTCATGGGCACATATGTCTAACATTTATAATTTCGCCACAAATTCATCGCAAATTTCATGTCCATGGTTCTGATCGAAAAAACGAAAAAAACGACTTTTTGGTAAAAGCACTTCTGGCGACGAGAAATTCGCCATTAAAACTACCTGTGCAATGAATTTCCGAACTATTTTTGCCTCCTCTTTTGAATGGTGCATTTATTTTCACTATCGGAATGATACTTGCCCAGATAATTAGCATTTTTACAATGGAAAATTCCGGAAAATCCGGTTTTTCCTAATTAAAAAAAAATTAAAAAACTGCTACATCTTTTTTTTATTTTTTTCGGAAAGATCACATCAAAATACACAAGGTCCTTTTTGTTTCATCCAATTACAAATTAATGTAAGCTCGAAGGGGCTTTTTTTCGTTATTTAATTGGACTATAACATTTGCCAGACGAGTAATGTCGAACCCTTTTCGTGTTTAAAGTAATCGCTACGCCAATTTGCAAAATTTAATAATAATAATAATGTAATCATGTAACAATAGTGGATAAAACAATTAAAGAGTTATGGATTACTACAATAGTCTGGCCTTTTGGTTTTATCCAGTGCCATTAAAAAAAAAAAAAAAAAAAGGTAACTTGATTATTTTAAATGGAACTACCAAATTTTTTTCATTTCATTACATGCAGAATTCTATTATCTTTCTAATGATATAAAAATATGTTGATATTTATCTTTTACAGATTTCTTTTTATTTAAAAATATCTAATCATTCACAGTATTTTTCAATTTTTAAAATATTTTAATTAGTAGGGTGTGAAAATAAAGTAAATCTGTCACTTTTTGTGACATTAGAAATTAGTTATTAAAACTCTTTCTAGTTTTGTTCAAGTCGTTCTAAATTTAAGTGATAATAATTGCACATATTTCCCAAAATGAATTAATTGATATGATTTTCATTCTCGGAGAATGCTCTAGAACTCCGTTTTTAGCAAGTCGTATTTATAAAGAAAGATATCCTGAACGAGAACGTCATCCAAGAGAAGAATCATTTAGAAATCTCTTGGACAGGTTTATTGCAACAGGAAATGTTTCTTATATCCAAAAACAAGAAAGAACTAAATTTGTTGTAAATGAAGAAAATAAAACTAATATTTCAACTGCAGTGGTAGAAAACCCTCATACTAGTACTGGCCAACTTGAAAGATATTTTCAAATAAGCCGAACCTCTATCAGAAGAATAATAAATAAAAATAAATTCCATCCTTATCATATTCAACTTCACCAAGAGCTCAAAGAAACAGATTATTAACACCGGATAAATTTTTGCAATTGGGCAGAAGAAAAATTAAATGAAAATGAATATTTTTCTAAGAAAATATTGTTTACAGATGAGTGTACCTTTCACCGAAATGGTTGTATTAATCGGCACAATTTTTATTATTATTCAGATGAAAACCCTCAATATTTCAGAGTCAATAGTCAGGAGAAATGGTCGGTTAATGTTTGGGCAGGCAT